GAACACCCAGAAATGTGCTTTCCTAATTTTCTAGGTATTTTTTAATTTTCAACTCAATGAAGGTAACAATCAAGATGATCCATGACACCACAGGAACTATCCAACATGGAGATTAAATTAGATGATGTTTTATCTGCAGAGAACCTCTATCTGTGCAAAACTAACTAAACTCCTAACCTTGAAGATTGGCTGGATATGTCGCCCAGACTCTCCAAGAAATTGAATTCCTAACATTTTATGTTAGTGGAACTTGAGATGTGATTGAGGACTCATGAATGGATGAATCATTTGTGCAGTGATGGATTAATGTCAAAGTGGATTTATTTTACAGTAAACTCTCTCAAGCTTGCTTGCTTTGTCTCACCACATGCTTCTGTCTATCATGTTCTAATACTGGAATAAGTTTTTCTTCAATACCTGCAAATGCTGGCACCAATCTGTTAGACTTTCCAGCATCCATAATCATACACAAAATAAATCTTTTTTTAAAATTATCCAATGTGTAGTATTTCATTAAAAAAAAATCCAAAGACACTTGATGGGAAACTTTCATACTTTACCCCTTGCCATTCTCTTTCTTATGTCAGACTTGTGACTACTTTTGAAGAGTGTGCAGTCTTCCAAGAGCCCTGCTTTGATCTTGTGCAGACCCTGCTCTTATCATAGGACTGCTTTGCTCATCTCTTGGCGTCTTCTTTGTACTCACCTCCTCTAGTCTGGATATTACTATTGCCCTCACCTACCCTCTCAATGCCTCTCAACCCTAACCCAACTCCATATTTTGATTGTTTCTTTTATTGCCTACCTTCTTACTTCATTATAGACCTCTCAAAGACAGGCCTCATGTCTTCACCATTTCACTCTTCCAAATCTAACCTAGTGCCTGGCATACAAAAAGATTCACAAGTGTATGGAAACAGCAAGAAGAAACAAAGAGGGAAAGTAGAGGGCTTTCTGGTAGGGAAGTAAAGGGGTGTTTTCTACATTCAGAACCATTTTCAGTTTACACTGGGAGCTGCTTACATGCACTTCTTACCAAACTTGAAGAGAGCCACCTAGTGAGAAATACATAATTTCTACCTGTCAGAACATCACAAACCTATAGGAGACAAAAACACCTACACACCTAATTGCAATAAATCATAGCATAAGACACATACCAGGACAGGAGAAAGGAAAAAAGAAACAGAGTGGCCAGGTCCATTTAGGCAGCCTCAGATGGCTTCAGGGTGAGAGCACAAGAGTCTATTCTTTTGGTTTTTTTTCTTGTTTTATAGGGTCTCACTATGCAGCTCAGACTCATAGAGATCCTCCTGTTTCCAGCCTCTCTGGTACTGTGATTATAGGTAGGAACCAACATGCCCAGTCTCCATGGCCAGCTCTGTGTGCCTGGGGCACAAGGCTGGCATGATATGTGGTTACCAGGGATCAAACATTGGCCCCTGCACTTGCCTAAGCAGGAACTTAGTCCACTGAGCTATTTCACTGGACTTCTATTCTCTTCAATGATAGCAAGGGCTGAAATTTCCTGGATGTCACTCTGTACAGTTACTGGTCTAGGCTCTTAAGGCCTACAACTTTATTTGCTCTTCACAGTTACACTGTGGGATGATATAGACAGGTCCCTGCTGCAGTAACCATCCTCAAATCTCAGTAGCTTAATATAAAAATGAAACAAGAACTTGCTCCTCTGATACAAAAACAAACCCACTGTGTGTCCAGGCCACTCATCAGAGAGCTGTCCTCCCTGTGGCTACCAGTGATTCCCTGCGCCCTTACACTTCCAAGCCCTACTTTGTGGCTGCAGCAGCAGAACAGAGGAATAGGGAGAATGGGAAAGGAGCTGTTGTCTACATCAGTCCAAGGCGACAAATGCCACTTGTAGAACACCAGAAGTAGTCATAGGGTCCTGCCTCTCTAAGCAGGTTAAGAGGCCCCATCTTTCATGGGCTTCAGAAAATGGAGAGGAAATGTGTTTTGATAAGCATATGTCATAGGTAGAATTATTAATAAGTGGCCCAGGATTAACTCTAATGAGCATCCCTATAATAGGTTAATTCAGTGTCTGTTAGGAAAAGGAGAATTATATAGTGGAAACCAATCTCCCCTTGGGGGTCTCTCCCCAGTGCCTGATGTACACAAACCTTGACTATGGTAATGTGTTCAGATAATATTCCCCAAATCCACCATCCTTCCCACTTGTGAGTGAGCTATCTGAGGAGGCCACTGAGAACTGTGTCCCTCACCAACAGCCCAATGGGCAGAGTTTAAAATAGGGAGGGGTGAAAAATGAAATGCTAACCCCACACACTTGCCTTCCTGATGAGGGAAAGCAAACAAGAAGGAAATGCCCAGAGAGTCAGTGTGCTTGGATGTGAGGTTATAAATGAGACTGTTGGTGATAAGGCAAAACGGACTAATTATAAGGCTAAGAACCTCATCTTCTTCCCCTCTTCTTTGTCTTTCTTCTTCTTTCCTTTAACACTTGTGCAGAGTTCAGACTTCAATGTTAATATAGAATACAGGTAGTGTGATTTTGCACAGGATTTGTCATGCCTCAGAAACAAGAGACTAGCATCACTTCAGCATTAATAGAAAAGTTAAAATTAAGTAACTGAGAACAAACTGTAAAAATATTAATCTAGCTTGTGGCTTTGCTATCGCAACACAGCCAGCATAATCAAAAGGTTGGTCTTCCAGTGATGTGGCCTTAACCTGGTCTGTCTGGCTCAGGAACCAGGGTCATGTGGTCACCTATTCATGTTTGAAGGTTACAAGGTAACAGGATTGCTGGACGGCGATGCAAAGTCCACCCGGCCTGGACAGAGTACTCAGGCATTTTTACTTGGACTATTACCTAGACCAAAGAGATAAAGAATTCCTGGCATCCAAATTATTCCTATGTTCTTTTCATCTGGCTTCATTCTCCCTCCCAATGTCTATGCAGAATGCTGTATTATGCACACTTGACAGAGTCTAGTTCTTTATATGAGCTTGCATTAATTTTGCATATTAATGAGGTTCAATGTGATGTTTTCATGCATGCATGCAGCACACATAGACCAAAACCAACCACCCTTTTCCCACCCTTTTTCCCTGCCCATACCCCACAGATTCCCAATCTCTAGTAAACGTGATTCTATTCTCAGGTCCATGTTTTTACTGCTTACCTATGAGAACATGCAGCACTTACCTCTTGGTGTCTGGCTTGTGTCATTCAGTGTAATGTATTCCCACTTTATCCATGAAACTACATGTGGCAGGATTTCATGCATAGTGATTCTGAATCTGACCATGGTGACTGCCACTGCAGTAAACACAGGCATGCAGATTTCATTTCCTTTGCGTCCATCCCCCAAAATAGGGTAGCTGCAAGTGTGTACAGGTATTTTTATCTTAATAATACCTATATTGAAAACCCCATTCTTAAACTGGGATGTCAGTCACAGAATTCATACTGTTAAAGCAATTTCCTTTGGAGCCTTAGAGTCTTTGTGTGACCTTCCATATGACAGAACCTAACCTGTTCCAGTGTCCTCAGTCTGGGGAACCTCCTCCCACCCCCATGGGAGGACACTTCGATCCACAGAGACTGGGAAGGGTAGTCTGCCTCGTGTTCTCTCCCCCAACTCTTGTAGTCACAGTTTACACAGGCATGGTTGCCCCGCATCTGCCCAACCTACTCAGACCCCTATCCAAGACTTAGGAGTCGGTGGTTCTAGCCCTTCTTCCCATCCCCCACACTGTGATTTTGATGTGACATAAGGTGAAACCACAGTGGACTCTTGGAAGACTCACAGTTATTCATACTAAGGGGAGATAAGAGGCATTTCTGCTGTTCTGTGGAAAGGAACTGTCGGTGCATAATTACTTTTTGTCTTCTTTTTTCATTTTTTTCCTTTTTTTCTCTTAACTTCCTACAACTTTTTTTACTTTCTTTTTTGAATTTTGCATACATATATCTGATAATCTGAACAACTAATTTCAAGACAACATTATGCAATGCAACAAACACTGCTGAACTCATGTTTCTCTAATGAAATTATGTAACACATAATTTTTTAATACTATTTTCTATTCTCTGTAAAAAGTAAAAAAGGAGAAAAAACATTGTAAAGAAGTTATTAATTAACGTTTCCAAAATGGAGTGAGCTACATTTTGAGATTGGTTTTCTACTTTTGGTTTGGCATTAAGGAACACATTTCACCTTTTTTTTATTTATTTATTTTTATGTGGTACTGGAGATTGAACTCAGGGTCTTCAGATTGAACTACATCTTTTTTTTTTTTTAATGGAATAGGGGATTGAACTCAGGCCCTTGAGCTTGCCAGGGAAGTGCTTATTCCACTGAGCTATCTTTCCGGCCCACATTTTGAGATTGGACACAAGATTTTTTAAAATATTTTTTCATATGTTAACTCCAAAAATATTTGTCACTTGAAAAGCATTTTTTTTTTCAGATACTGAAAAAATAAAAGATTCTTTTCTCAAGATCCGAGTTGGGGCCAGTCAAATAGCTCAGCAGATTAAAACACCTGAAAGCAGGTGCTGGGGCCAAGGATCAATCCCAGGGCCTGTCTTGCCAGCCCCACAACCAGGGCGTGCTGAGATGGCAATTGAGACTGGGCGTGGTGGTGTGCCCCTGTAATCCCAGCTCTTGGGATACTTTACACAAGAGGATCACAATGAGTCTGATGTAGTAGTGAGACCTGAACACCCTGTGGACCCTTCCCTAAAATACAAAACAACAACAACAATAACAACAACAACAATAATAAAACTTTTAAAAGGATCTGAGATTGTCTTTATTTTTATGAACATTTAAGATTTCCTTGGGGCTGGGGAGATGGCTCAGTGGAATAAGCACTTGCCTGGCAGTGCAGGGGCCTGAGTTCAATCCCCGGTTCTGCCAAACAAACAAAGGAAAGAAAGAAAGAAAGAAAGAAAGAAAGAAAGAAAGAAAGAAAGAAAGAAAGAAAGAAAGAAAAGAGAATTTCTTCTGCTCGCTTCAGCAGCACATATACTAAAATTGGAATGATGCAGAGGAGATTAGCATGGCCCCTGCACAAGGCTGACAGGCAAATTCGTGAAGTGTTCCACATTTTTAAACTCCACCGAGAAGTTACTAGAATTAATACACAAATTCAGTAGCACAGCAGGATACAAAGTCAATACCCAAAACTGAATAGCATTCATCTACACAGATAACAAAAATACTGAGAGGGAATTAAGAGAAATAATATCTTTTAGAATAGCACTGCAGAAAATGAAATACCTTGGAACTCATCTAACTACAGAAGTCAAAGATTTAGTCAATGAAAATTACAGTACTCTGAAAAAAGAGATCGCAGAGGATTTCAGAAAATGGAAATATATTCCATGCTCCTGAACAGGAAGAACTAACGTTGTGAAGATGGCCAGACTCCCAAAATTGTTGTACAGATTTAATGCAAACCGTATTAACCTAAAACCAACATACCTCCCAGACCTAGAGAAACCATTCCTAAAATTTATTTGGAACCAGAAAAGAACTAGAATAGCAAAGGCAATCCTGTGCAACAAAGACAAGGCAGGAGGCACTACAATTCCTGACTTGAAATTAAGCTACAAAACTACTGTGATAAAATCAGCATGGTATTGGCAACAAAATAGACCTGAGGATCAGTGGAGTAAATTGGAAGATGCAAATGCCTCTATAAACACTCAGCCACCTTATCTTTGACAGAGGGGCCAAACACACTTACTGGATGAAAGATAGCCTCCTTAACAAATGTTACTGGAAAAACTGGCTCTCTATATGCTGAAAACTAAAACTTGGCCCAGCTCTATCACCATGCACTAAGCTAAAGTCAAAATGGATTAAAGATCTAAACATTAAAACAGAAACACTAAAGCTCCTGGAAGAGAAAGTAGGAGGGACTCTTGAAAACATAGGGAGTAAGCAAAGAGTTCATGAACAAAAATCAAATCACACGGGAAACACTTCAAAGAATTAACAACTGGGACCAAATCTTATTGAGAAGTTTTTGCACGTCAAAAGAAATTACCAACAAAGTGAAAAAAAAAAAAACCACAAATTAGAAAAAAAATCTTAACTAATAAGCACTTGAACAAGAGAGTGCTCTCTAGAATTTATAAAGAAATAAAAAACATTACAGCCCCAAAATTTAAAG